TTTGGCTATCCTGGGCCTTTTGTTTTTCCATATAAAGTTGATTATTGTTCTTTCACCATCTGTGAAGAATTGTGCTGGAATTTTGATAGGGATTGCAGTGAGTCTGTAGACTGCTTTTGGCAAGATTGCCATTGTTACTATGTTAATCCTACCTATCCAAGAGCATGGGAGATCTTTCCATTTTTTGGTATCCTCTTCGATTTCTTTCTTTAAAGACTTAAAGTTCTTGATATACAGGTCTTTCACTTCTTTGGTTAACATTATCCCCAGATATTTGATGCTGTTTATGGCTATTGTAAAGGGTGATGTTTCTCTGATTTCTTTCTCAGTAACTTCATCGTCTGTATATAATAGGGCCACTGATTTTTTTGAGTTAACCTTGTATTCTGTCACTTTGCTGAAGATGTTTATTAGCTCTAGGAATTCCCTTGCAGAGTTTTTCGGGTCACTTATGTAAACTATCATATCCTCTGCAAATAGTGAAAGCTTGACTTCTTCTTTTCCTATTTGTATCCTCTTGATCTCCTTTTGTTGTCTTATTGCTCTAGCTAGAACTTCAAGTACAATATTGAAGAGATATGGAGAGAATGGACAGCCTTGTCTTGTTCTTGATTTTAGAGGAATTGCATTAAGTTTCTCTCCATTTAGTTTGATGTTAGCTGTTGGTTTACTGTATATTGCTTTTATTATGTTCAGGTATGTTCCTGTTATCCCTGATCTCTCTAGGACCTTTATCATGAAAGGCTGCTGGATTTTGTCAAAGGCTTTTTCAGCATCTAGTGAGATGATCATGTGGTTTTTCTTTCGTAGTTTGTTTATATGGTGGATTACATTGATAGATTTTCTAATGTTGAACCATCCCTGCATTCCTGGGATGAAGCCAATTAAAAGGTGGTGTACAGAACTAAATAAGAATTCTCAATAGAGGAGGCTAAAATGGCCAAGAGACACTTAAGAAAGTGCTCAACATCCTTAGCCATCAGGGAAATGCAAATCAAAACAACTCTGAGATACCATCTCACTCCTGTCAGAATGGCTAAAATCAAAAACACCATTGACAATTTATGCTGGAGATGGTGTGGAGAGAGGGGAACACTCCTCCACTGCTGGTGGGAGTGCCAAATTGTACAACCACTTTGGAAATCAGTATGGAGATTCTTCAGGAAAATGGGAATCAATCTACCACAAGACCCAGCAATTCCACTCTTAGGCATATATCCAAAAGATGCAAATTTATACAACAAGTACATCTGCTCCACTATGTTCATAGCAGCATTATTTGTAATAGCCAGAACCTGGAAGCAACCTAGATGCTCCTCAACTGAAGAGTGGATAGAGAAAATGTGGTACATTTACACAATGGAGTATTACTCAGTAGAAAAATCAATGGAATCTTGAAATTCACAGGTAAATGGATGGCACTAGAAGAAACTATCCTGAGTGAGGTAACCCAGTCATCAAAAGACAATCATGGTATGTACTCACTCATATATGGATTTTGGACATGGATCAGGATAGTGCCAGTCTGCACTTCCTCTGACAGAGAGTCTGGGAAACAGGAAAGAACCTAAGAGAGATATGCATGGTATCCCATAGAAGAGGAATGAGGCAAGATCTTCTGAACAGATGGGGAATACAGCGAGGTTTGTGGAGGGAGTGGGAGCTGGGAAGAAGAGAGGGGGAGAAGAGGAGGAGAGAGTAGGTCATGGGGGAACAGGAAGGTTGAGTGGGGAATAGAATAGAGGTAGAACAGGATAAGAAATACCATAAAAGAGGGAGTCATAGGTTAGAAGACAGATCTGGCACCAGTGAGACCCTTGTGATCTAAAGGGATGACACCAATTGGCAAGCTAAGCAGTAGTGGAGAGACCACCTTAAATGCCCATTCCTGATAATGAACTTGACATCTACACTATTTGCCATCCTGGAGCCTTCATCCAGTGACTGATGGAAGCAGAGGAAAACACCCAAAGTTAAACACTGAACTGAACCCATGGAACCCAGTGACAGAGAGAGAGGAGCAATGAGCAAATTGGCAAAGAATGGGCTGGCAAAACCAGCATAGACAGCTGATCTGAATAGGGGAGAGCTCTTGGACCTCAGACTGACAGCTGGGAGGCCAGCATGGGACTAATCCAGACCCTGTGAGTTTGAGAGTCAGTGAGGAGGCCTGGGCAACCTTTGGGGCCCTGGGCAGTGGATCAGTGTTTAACCCTGGCATACAAACAGACATCGTGTGTCCATAGCACAAAGAGGGATGGTCTCTCAGCCTGGACTCTTAGTGAAGTGCCTAGACCCTGCCCTGAGTGAAATGACAGACTCTAGATATCCCCTATGTGGAAAGAAGTGGTGATAGGGTGGGAGGTTGGGGGAGGATGGTGGGGGAGGAGAGGGAACTGTGACTGACATGTGAAGCAAGCTATTTAAAATTAAAATAATAAAATAAAAAATATATATTGGTGATTATGTGTCAATAGTTAAGTCAAAGCTAGCCAATGAGAAACAATAGCAAATGGCCAACAGCTTAAAAGTTGATATAGTTTCCTGTGTGTTCATTTGTGTTGGCATGGCTCTGGAACCTAGGCAGGATCCTGCAATATGGCTCTGACAATGTGGGTATTAATAACTTCCACTTAAACCTTAACAAAGGGGGTTTTACAATGGAAAGAACAGAGGCAAGCACAGCTTCTTGGTATCAGCAATTTTCTCAGGTGATCTCGGTTTTGCTGAAGACAAGCAGAGACTCACGCTGCTCCTTGAAGGTAGGTTTCCTGACTCAGCATAAAAGGAAGAACCACACTACTTTAACTTTAGCAATGTTGTTTAGCAGATAACAGACACGTGGCCGGAAAAACATAAAGATTTACAGTAAAGTCAGATTCAGAGACAGTGAAACCTCTAAAGGTTTACAGTATGTTTAGAAACATAGGTAGGCTTGAGAGAGGAAAATAAACAGGATAGTGGTAAAAGAAACAGAGAAGCCGGTTGTCGTGGCACACACTGGTAGGATTTGCTCCAGAGGCAGAGTCAGGTTTCACAAAGAAACCCTGTCTCAGAGAAAAAATAAAAGTAAAAAAACTAGAGTAATAATAGTAAAGAAAGAAAGAAAAATCCATATAAAGATGAGAAATACACAATGAGTCTGGATACTGTATTTTATTGTGTTTTTCAGTTTTTCAATTACTAAAAAAGAAACAACTGATAAAGTACACTTGATTATCAATGCTGCCAAATTAATCCAACTTATGTATTTTAAAAATGCTTCGACTTCTAAATCTAAACATAAGGACAAGCTACTTGGAAAAAAATTATTTATGTTTCCAGAAAAAAGGGAAAACTGTGGATTCCTTCCAGGCTTCTGTGGTTTGATGAGCCAAAACACCTAAAAGCTGTGGTCCAAGTGATCCAATATCCAAAACAGCCGAGATGATACAGCCTTAAGGACTACACAAACAAGGACTTGGCCAGGTTTCTGAGTTTCGTCACTATAGGTGCGGGCGGGGTTTATATCTCACTGTATTTCCCCTTTAAGTCTAAAGAAAAAGATTTCGGCTTGATACAAAACTGTATACATAGACAGCAAATATCAAGTTTGCTCTAGGAAGAGAAGAAAGAACAAACACACTTGAGACCTATCGCCAGTGAAGCAATAGGAACAAAAGGCAAGAACTACACATTCAGTCCTAGGATAAAGGCATCACAGAGATTACTATAGAGCTGTCCTAAGTTGGAAAGTTTAAGTCTTGTACCTAATACTTCTATTCAGGAAGAGAGAACAATAACTGTAACAGTCTAACCTTCAAGCTCATCAAAGACCTGAGAAGGAGGATAACAATAATAGGGTAGGCAGGAAGTGTAGGTGAGCAACTTCCAAATGTGCAGTGAAGACAGAAACAGCAGGCTACCTGGGCAGTCACCCAAAGTGTCACAACAGCATAGGGGCAATCAGCTTTGGCTAAGGCCTGGAGTTTCTGACAGACCAACAGAGGCAGGGAGGCAGAAAGGCTCTCTTACACTAACTTGGCAAGGTCCAGCAGTCTTCTAAGTTTATTGCCTGCAAACTCAGTAGGACAGCATGTCCAAAGTCAGCGGAGGAGATGGGTGCTTCTTTTCCAAGAGGCCATTAACCAAGTGCTGGGATTAAAGGCGTGTGCCACCACCACCCAGCCAAAACTAGTATTTTGAGCATTTAGTCACTCAATGTTCTCTGAAGTTTGTCGCTTATGTTTGAATGTTCTCATGTGTGGTGAGTTCTCTGCAAAATATGCTTAAGTTATTTGCCACTAAGAACCTCAACATTTCAATTTCAATGAGACCAGAAGTCAGTGAGCTCACGTGTGATGTGGACATCTGCATTTCCACCTGTGCTCGCCTAGGATATTGGTGCTATCAGTTTTCATTTCCTGGGCTCTCGGATAAGATTATATTGAATTTATTGGTTTCATCACTCATGTATGGTGGTGTACTTTTGTTTAAGATTTATGCCCCCAATTAGATTATAAACTCTTTTATGGCAAAGCTTATATTATATGACTCTTTGCATTTCCATTTCTTAGCACAGCTCCTTGCAATAAATATGGGTTTAAAAGGGTCTGTTGACACTGATTTTGAGTCAGATTTTTGAATTTATTGGATGGATGCCTTTCTGGAGCTTACATTATCTCAACTGTGTATTTGCTGAACGGGTAGTGTCAGGAAACTTTGTATGCTCCCTAAGCACATTAGAAGTAAATATTTACATTGCAGATGACTGGTTTGCTTTAGGAAGCCATAGTGACTGCACAAAGCCTGGAGTTTCATTAGACAATCTTCCTACCAGCTTTGGTCTAGCCACACAGTTACTTGAAACTGAAAAGCAGGCATGTCTTTGGACACCATCTTTCAATTATGAGAGAATTAACTTGTGCATCACATGCATAGGTGTGCTGCTGGAAGCCGACTAGAAAGCTTTGTAGGTCATCGCCGTGCCTTAGAGATTTTGCAACTCAAATTTAAAGATGAGATGCGTTGACACAGTTATAACGAATGAACCAACACAAGTGAATTCTGACTTGTCGTATTTCAGAAAAATATTTATGCCCATTGGAATCTCAATTACAATGCTGCTTTCCCCTTGGAGTATTTCAGAAAATGACTACAAAAGAGAGAAAAGGAAAACTGAATATGCCGATTGGAAGACTTCATGGAGCAGGAGAAACCAAAGCATGTAGGAAGGGACGTGGATGTAGTTGTGGCATTCCCTTCTTTCCTGGTGGGATATCCTTGTCTCTTCAGGTACACTAGGCTATGGCATGCAGATGGCATTCTGTTTGCAGAGTCTATCTGCACCGATGGAAGAAATTTAGAAATGATGGCCCAGTTTCAGTGTGGCCAACAGAGAGTTTATTTAAAAAAAAACCAAGGAAGGAAAGCAGGGATGTTGAGGTGTCATGCATGGTTGGGACTTGACAATGACCATTGTTCTCTTGAGGGTTGTGTAAGTGGTCCAGATACCAGGAGCGTTTTGAGACTTGGACTCAGTCCACTTCCCTGTGGACCGGAAAAGCAGCTGCTTGCTTTCTGTTCTGTCGTGGAAGCCGCCTATGAAATTGGAGTTGTTAAGCCTTTCAGTTTAGTTAATGCTTCCTTTTGAGCCTGGGGAAGTAACCAGAAAGCTACTTCTGTGCAGAGTTAAAGACAGGGGCTGGTATCCTTCGCAGACGGTGGTTTGACTTATGGAAAAGTCAATTTCTTCCTCTCACTTCCCTCAGGCCTTGAGAAGAGCTGACTGAACTGGCAGAGTGGAAAGATGAAACTGAATGTGGAGAAAGGGAAGGAGCTTCCGAGCCAAGTCAGATCAAAGAATGTTCGAGGATGATTTAGCATTTGGAACACTTCAAAAAGTGTGACATGAGCTGTTCTTTTCACCCCCAGCCTCAAATATGCATCCAATAGTCTCGGAATAGCTTTCATATGCAAAGCAATAAAGAGAAGCGACTTTTCCATGAAAGGCATTGTCATTCCTTGCCTTTCACAGAGCTGGGGCCCGAAAGCACTGAAGGGAGAAGCGTAAAATGTCAAAGATTCCTCTTTTTATTTTTTAAAAACCTTTTATAGAACTGAGGGTCTTGTTAACCCCCTGACACTCAAACATAGGTTGTGAATGTTTAAAACTACCATTTCAAATGCTTGTATCTCTCTACTGAGTTAATTTGATGATTATTTGACTGTGGTTTGCAATTCTTTAAAAGAATGAATGAGCCTGGTAAACACTGAATGAGGGTACCCGAATAAGGCACCCTTCCCAGAGTGCTGATATTGTGAATTTTTTATGGTTTGCTGAACAGGCATGTAGCAGAAGTTTGTTTAGTTGTCCTTTGAAGTTCACTGGTAGGTCTCCATCATATTGAAGGTACCTGACAGCTGAGATGTGACATACAATTATTTCCTTTCTTCCTTTTCTTAAAAAAATAAACCCTGCAGTTGAGATATATCATTCTGCTCTGTGCCTTGACCTTGTAGAGAATCCATTAAATATATAAACCTTGTACAGAAGATAGAACTCCAAGTAAAACTAAGAAAATACATTTAGTATTGTGACTAAATTTTATTTATACTAAGGTGGTTCTAAGGATTGAATGTGTTACCTGTCCCCATGTTCATGTATTGGAAACTTAATCCTCGGGGGAACATTTCTGCAATGAGGAGCCTTTCAGAAGTAATCAGGTCACAGAACTCTTCCCTCAAAAATGGATCAGTAGTGTTATCATGAGAGTGTGCTGTTATTATGGCTCGGGAAATAAGATCGAGTTCTGCTCATCCTGCTTGTTACCATATGGGAACTCTCCTTCCCTTCTACCTGTGCAATAAGATGAACAGTAACAAGGGCTTTCTAGCTTCAGGCTCCTTTCGACTTCCCAGGCTTCAAAACTGCTTTAAGAAATACATGCCTGGTCTTTCTAAATGATCTACTCCTATGTATCCTGTGATACATTCAGAAAACGGACTAACATAACTGTGAGGAGACATCTGTGTGCATGAGTACAAAACACCTGCCTTAAATTGCAGCTAACTGAATGCAATAGCAGCTATAATAATGCAGTCTACTTCCTTTTTTGTGAGCATTAATTGAGGATAAGAGAAATTCAGAATCATTTGCATTAGGCTTAGAGATTTATGTTTTACTCCGAGCCATCGACAAACTCATTTGTAATGTAGTTTCACTGAACAGCAGGCCACTCAGCATTTTTGATGATCTCACCCATACTTTTGATGATAAAGGTGAACAGGTGAAGCAAAGTCATTAGACCTCATGTATCTTGTTCTCCTTGAAGTGCCAAAGTCAGAGTCTATGCTCTGTGTCATGAAGCAGCCCACTGAGATCCTCTAATGTGATGAGTAAGGGGAGGGGTTTTAAAAGTGTGAACATGTAGTATTAAATTTATTCACAGTTATCTCTCGAGGTAAACTTAGTTTTTAGAACGGCAGGCAACTCCTGATTAAGTTTCATACCGGGAAAATCTAGCTAGAATATGTTTTATCTAATCAAGAGCTTTCCCAGATCATAATTAAGATCCATATGTTGAAAATGATCCCCTTAGTTTTAGTGTTTTATAAAAATATCTAAACACGGGGAGAGGAGTATCCACTGAAATCCAGGGCTACATAAACATGAGCTGAACAATGACAAGAACAATAGACATGCCAAACAGGATGGGAGAAAAAGACTAAGAGCCTTAACCCTACCTAAAGAACTACAGGCAACTAAGGAATGATACAAATAGGAGATGCAGTCTTCTCCAGGGAAGAACATACTAATTGGTTATCCAACACTAAATGATCAGCCCTGAACACATACATACATGTAACATTATACAGACTGAGCAAGTTATACTTGGGAATATATATGCATATATATATGTATATATGTATATATATATATGTTACAACAAATTATGAAAAAGGCTGTAATTTTGAAATAGGTCAAGGAGAGGTAGATATATCAAATGTTTTGGAGAGAGGAAAAATAATGGGGAAATAATATAATTATATTATAATTTCTAAAATAAAAGTAATAAAAATAGAAAAAATATTAGAGATCTTTGACTATTTAAAAAACAAAAGTCTCTTTTAGAGAGTTTGTCTTAACTCATGATAGAAGGCTTTTGGATTCTGAAATGTACTATTTGTTTGCTTTTTAGAAGCAAGAATGTCATGTTTTGGATTATAAGAACACTAAAACTTGAACTTGAATACTGAGAGAACAGGTTTTCAGTAGCACTCTGAATGGCCAAACTAGGGACTTTTGTCTAAGAATACCAAAGTAATTGGTAATTTTTCCTTTGCGTTAAGTGCAATATAGATGGCTTTTTCTTAGGGAAAGGACTAGGAGCCTCACATATCTGGATTGATGATGAGGACTACCTCTAAATCTCTTCATCTTTATATTTCAAAAGTGAGGTTAGTAATGTAAAAACCCCAAGAAATGGGTACATTGCTACATTAGTTAATTTCCTCACTGTTGTAATGAAATAACTTAAATCCAAAGCTAAAGAAGATTTATTTATGCTAAAGTTTCAGAGGAATAAGTCCATGATAATGTGGCCCCCAGTTCATTGGGCAGACTATCTTCTATAGTTCTGTCTCCTATAATCTACTCAAATTTTGACCTCCATTAATGAGGTAAGTGGTCCATTAGATGGAATCCTCTAAAACACTCTTGCAGAAACACCCATTAGTTATATTCTAGGTGTCTGTTCCTTCAGTTGTTACCAAAGTTAAGCATCATACAGACAAAGCACCAAGAACCTGTCTCCAACCTAGGCAGCAATTGAAACTGTAGGGTCTACTCAAGCCTGTTGACTTGATGTATTGTTTGGAGAAGGATGTGTAAATCTCCCAAGACAAGTGGAATCTCAGGTTGCTCAGCTACTCCTATGCTCACTAGCCTCAGTTTCCCTACCTCAGTTATTTTGACCGTGTACTGCTGTTCTCTCTTACGCTTCTGAGACACCTGCATTTAACCATGTTGTGTTCTTAAATATGACATTCTAAAGTATTTTGTTTTTAATATTCTTCCTTCATATTTATGCTTCTTAAAACAAGTGTCTTTTCTCCCAGTAATCTAGGAGGATGATCCTAGCTAAGACTCTTAGCAATGGGAGATACGGAAGCGGCTGCCTCCTGTTACCAGGCAAGACTTCCAGTAAAGGGATTGGGACTCCTACAATTTGATCTGCCTACAAGATATGCTGGGACAAAGATGGCCCAGAGATTATGGGAGTGACCAACCAATGACTGGTATAGCTTGAGACCCATACTACGAGGGGGAGCCTATCCCTGTCAAATGTCTGGAAGGCCAGGACCCATAAGTTGGACAGCTCAGAGACCTAAGATATAACCAAACATGATTGACAAAAAGAAAAAGAAAAAAAGTCAATGAAATGATTCCTAATGATAGTCTGCTATACTTATGGATCTTTGCCAAGCCAATTGTGATGAGAGAGGCTTTATCCAGAAACTGATAGAGTTCGATGCAGATACCCACAACCAAGCATTAGGAGGGCCTTGGGAAATCCCATGGAAGAGGGGAAGGAAGGATTAGGGAAGCCAGAGGAGCCAGGGACACCTTGGGAAAATCAACAGTTAACTCACCTGGGCTCATGTGGTCTCATAGAGACTGAACCACCAAGCAGAGAACAGAATTGACCTGGGACCTCTGGATATGTGTTGCAGTCGTGAGGACTGTTTATGTGGGAGTCATGGCAGAGGAAACAGGGGCTGTCTCTGACTCTATTGCCTGTTCTTGGGAGCCCTTCCACCTGCTGGGTTATCTTGTGCAGTCTTAATGGCAGAGGAGGTGCCTAGTCTTACTGCAAATTGATATCCCATGGATGGCTGCCCTTTCCTGAAGGGAGGGTAGAAGGAGTAGGAAGAAGATAGGGGAAGGGACTGGGAGGAAAGGAAGGAGGTAGGGAAAACTATGATTGTGCTGGGAAAAGTTAATTAATAAAAATGTTGAATTTACAATGACATAATGAAATTTGCAGGCAAATGAATGGAACTAGAAAAAAACATCCTGAGTGAGGTAAACCCAGACCCAGAAAGACAAACATGGTATGTACTCACTTATTAGTGGATATTAGACGCAAAGTAAAGGATAACTAGCCTACAGCCCACAACTCCAGAGAAGTTAGGTAACAAGGAGAACTCTAAGAGAGACATAGCTGAATCCCACTAGGAAGGGGGAAAAGATCTGAGAAAATTGGGAATGTAGGGGGAGGGAAGGCAGAGGGGAGTGGGAAGGGATTGGAGGGGGCAAGGAGAACATGAGGGAACAGGATGGTAAAGATGGGGGAAAGACAGAAATGGAGAGCAAGGAAAGAGATACTTTGATTGAGGGAGTCATTATGGGGCTATCCAGAAACATGGCACTAAGGAAATTCCCAGGAATCCACAAGAATGATCCCAGCTAAGACCCTAAGCATTAATGGAGAGGATACCTGAACTGGCCTTCCCCTGTAGTCAAATTGATGGTTACCTTAATTATCATCATAGAACCTTCATCCAGCAGCCGATGGAAGCAGATGCAGAGATACACAGATAAGCACTGGGCCAAGCTCCCAGAGTCCAGTTGAAGACAGCGTTAATATGAGCAAAGGGGTCAAGAACATTTTGGGTATATGCGTAGAAACAGCTGACCTGAGCTAGTAGGAGCTCACTGACTCTGGGCAGACTGGGGCGGGGGAGACTGGCATAGGACCAAACTAGGCCCCTGAATGTGGGTGACAGTTGTGTGGGGTCACTGGCAGTGGGACCAGGATTTATTCCTAGTTCTTGAACTGGCTTTTTGGAGCCCATTCTCTTTGGAGGGACACATTGCTCAGACTAAAGATAGGGACCTTGGTCCTGCCTCAAAGAGATGTGCCAGACTTCCTTGACTCCCCATGGGAAGCCTTATCCTCTCTGAGGAGTGGATGGGGGTGGGGTGAGATTCGGGGAATGTGGGGAAAGCAGGAGGAGAGGAGGTAATAGGAACTGGGAATGGTATGTAAAATGAGAAAAGATTATTTGAATATTGTTGGGGAAGTCCTGTGTATATGTCAATAAAGCACTGTTGGGCCAATAGGGAACCAAGATAGGTGGGACTAGCAGTCCAGGAGGACTCTGGGAAGGAGAAACACGGAGAGTCAAGATGTAACGCCATGGGGTAGGAAGCCCGGAAAGTTCTCCGGTACGAGAAATACTTAGATTAACAATTATGGGGTAATTACTTAAGTCAGAGCTAGCCAGTAAGAAACAAACAAGGCCAACAGCTTCATAATTAATATAGCCTCCTGTGTGTTCATTTGGGACTGATGTGGTTCTAGAACCAGGCTGGCGGGAAGGCTTCCCTTTACAGAATATGGAAAAGATAAAAACGTGGTTTTTAGTATTTCACTTTCATAGTTAGTTAAGTTCACTCCTGTGCTGTTTATTATTGGAGCTTCATTTGTTTCTTTTGGTAGTTTCATATTATATATTTGATGTAAAAAGAAATACAGCTGTCACCTTTTTTTCAAAAAATTTCTTCTTTGTATTTTATGTA